ATATATACAAAAGGAGGAAGGCAGGCGTTAATCGTTACCAAGTAACAACAGAAGACTTACCTGGGGTTGTTGGACGCAGTGATGGTCGTGAGGTACTGGGGAAAACTGAGTAAAAGTTCGGATTATTAGTATTAGATTACAACAGTACGATTCTGAACAGAGAAACTTTTATATTGATATGATATTTGGCGCGCAAATCGCGTGTTGATGGGAAGAGAACGGAAAATTTGTGCGTTTTATAACCAAAGTTTAGCCTCCATTCCCCCCCCAACCTTTCCCCCCCAACTTGCCCCCTTCTCTTTGCAAAAGTACCTGGACCCACCCCTAGTGTGGCTGTTTTATAATGAAGACAATACCTGTATTAGCTTTATATCCATAATGATGAATAGTTTTATATATTAAGCAAAATCGTACCTAAATGAAGGATTGTAAAGTTTTCATGGTGCCTATGAAACCGAACTTTTCCTTTGCAGAGGAAGATCATTTTGTTGTACTTAGAAAGAATCCGAAGTATAATTAAAGAGCCATTAAGAGTCAAGTCAAATTCATCCGGACGGACAATGGAGACATTCGACATGTTTTCGATGTGAGCAATCTTGCGCTTTTCCGAACCACTTCTGCACTCTTGTATCATCTGGATCCTGCACATGTACCACCCAACATGTAACAAGGGCAAGCCACTCGTGTCTACCGCACAGGGTAAGGATACATTTCTTTTATCAAATTCAACAACTGTCCACTTCGTTGTATCTCTAATATCAGATCCTGTGAAGGGAACATGGAGATGACAAAGGAAGTTAACAAATACAATGTGATCAGTGGGTATTCAATTTGGTGACATTACAACTAATAGAGGGCTAGTAGTCACGGACTGAAACTCATGTTTGGAGCGTCTGTAATTTTGTTCAGTAATTTGGGAGACCCCCTTGAAAACAACTTAGTCACATTATGATCCTATCAGCTCATTAACACCTGCCCCAAAATCTCAACTTGTTAGTTATAATTTCTCGATGTTCACACTAACTTTGGTCACCAATTCTGTTTTTTTCGTCAGTCACAAGCGTCGAAAGGAGTATCCTGTTCGTGCCTTAACAATCTACTCTTCAGTTATTTTCTCTCCTTTTTCCTTTTCGTCTATTTGCCTTTTTAACATCTCTCCTCAAGAATACAAACTGCAGTCCTGTTATATTGGAAAATGTAACCTGTAACCTAAATATAGTTCACGACGTAAACTAATTAATAAAGCTAGTGAAATTACTGCAACTTAGTTAATTTTAATTGTTGACGGACTTCATGGAAGGATCGCAAAGTTGCGTTGACCAAAATGAGTTTCATACCGTGACCTTTAGTCTTGATTCAAAGGGTGATATTAACAGTTTTCCTGGTTTGTTAAGTGTGTTTTCGTGGATATATTTTTCCTTGCAACTTTAAATGTGTTCCGCATGAACACTGACAGAACAATCAGAAGAACTCACGGCAACTTTGAATAAATTGATCCACGTCGTCAGATAATTAAACCGCATTTATCAACCAAAAGGACCGAAAACATTTAAATGTTCATTAATCTACACAACCACGACTGACAACATTTATTAGAACACTTTCTATCTATTTTTTTTTTAATCATATACACCGTCAACGAGTGATTTGAAGAGTTTGATCTATCCTAATTGATCTTTTATCCCACCACTGAAGTCACTCACGAATCCGTTCATTGCGGCAGTGATTTCATTCCACGCTAAAGTATATCAGAAAAATTTGCAGTTCCTTTTTAAGATAAACGAAAGAAGCCTCAAAACCGTTTAGGCGGCTTTTATCACAACCAGATGTTTTGGGTTCATTCAAGACCAGACGAAAGAGTAGTATCTTTGGCAGCGATCGAGATAATTTTTTTTTTTTTCATTACGGTGCTTATTTCTCATTTAGTTAGCGGAAATAAGCAGTTAGATATTCGAATGTTAGGTATGATAAACAAATATACACGGTTTTGCATCGTTCACGTTTCAATAGCATTTATATTAAGCCGCTTAATCTAACTGAAAATAAAACTCTGTTGGAGTGTTGTGTACTTTCTCTCTTTCAAAGTAAACTTGATGTTCGTGAAACATTCACCCAGAAATTAATCGTCATACAGACCTGTCGATCTGGGAGCTTCTGTTACAACAGTCGCCAGTCGAAGCAGTGCCGATATGCCAAGAAGACTTAACCGGACACCCATATCTTCAACTCTAGGAAGTTTACTGTCCCAAAAGTGGAGTTTATTTATGTGTTTTCACTGGCCAACCTGTCATAGACATCTGTCTTTCAAAATATGATATTGCTGGCTTGTAGTAGGCAATCCTGTCGTCATTTCTAAATTTATAGGCAGCAGGAACTGGCAGGTAGCCGCTTGTTGCACTTAATTGCATCAGCCTTTACATCTCGCAGAACTTTGTAAGTGCGCATTATTTGTGAAAATCCTTTTTAATACTAAACGAACACTCAATTGCATTTGAATCGAAGTGATCCGGTCTTTCTAAATTACCTAGCTATGAGCCTTTTAACCGCCAAGAGTGACCAAGACAAAATTTCTCGACGCACGACAACACAAGACAAAGTTTTATTCATAGAAATCAATCAAATCAAGTTATTCTTAGAAATAATTTTTTTACAGTTTTGTTGATTGATTAAAAACGTTTTTACCAGTATCGCGGTGTAAAGTTACTTTGTGAATCAGGGATCCAAATAAACCAAAGGTTTACTTGTTAGTTCCCCGAAGGTTTCTTTTTAGTTCCTCGACAATTATAAATGGTAATTATATTTGTTTCTTTTTTTATACTGACACAAGCGGCTTTACCATGCGCCGGTTTGGTGGCCTAACTTCAATGAGAATTCTCTTGGGGTTTGCCGACTCGCTTACCCAAAAAGAACTGTTTTCACGAGATTTGCGACATGAAAATTCACTCGTGAAAACACGGCCAAGGTTAATAAATTGCTGCTTTCATTTGGTTATTAGAGAAAGTTGGATCAAATTTGGTAACTGGGTTACGCTTTTTATAAAGGGATAATCGATCATAACATATTTTAAAATCTACACCGATTCGAAATGAAACGTGTGCGTTCTAACATTCAATCTCCTTCTCTTCCGATTCCTTATCACTGAATAGGAATTTGCTGACTCGTAAATCGCCTAAAATATCATCTTCCTCGAAGAAAAAAGGGTATAATATAAATAAAAGAAAAATGAAAAAAAAAAAAAAACAATAATAATTAAAACAGACCAAAAAAGAAACACAGAAAACGATAAAAAACGCAATTTTATGACATAATTGACCATTTAGTTAAAGAACTGAAGTTCACTTAAAAATTTTGCTGTGTTGATTTCGGGAGATCAACATAGCTTGGATTTTACTAAAAAAAATTATTCTTAGATTTATTTGAGTGGATCCGCTTTGAGAGACCGTTCAATACTGTTATACTGATGAAGAAAAATTCAGACAGGCCTTTGGGAGTTGGTGAAGGGTTTCCACAATCGTCTAATGGAGGTGACAATTACAATATTTTAGGGGAAAAACTTTTGTGATTCTGAAAACCAACCACTTGAAACAGCGTCAAAGCTTAATACGGTACCGCTTAATACAGGTTTATGTACACGTTTGTATCTAACTTGATTCCACTAATAGCCCCTTATCTCCTGAAGATCGTGTTTTTTTTCAGTTTTGTTTTTGTTTTTCAATAACGAAATCAATAGAGAGTACTCTGAATTACATGGACAGGTGTGATTTAAGAGAGAAGCTCGAAAAAGTCAAAACGTGGCAAGGCCAAAAAAGCTGGACCTTCTCAGCTGTCATAAATACAGTTTACATTTCTTTGCGCAGCCAGTAGTCCTGTATTACTTCCGCTGCATTGTTATGCGTCTTGGTTCAATATGTCAATAGGTTTGCGATCATTAACCGAGTTTTCTATGAGGCTGAAATCATCTGTTCGATGAACAAGTTCAACTTTATCGACAACAGAAAAATCCGAAAGGTTTTCCGAGACCGCTGTTTTCAATTCCCTCTTACCTCTAGCTAGGCGTAAATTAAGGATATACTTGCAATGTCTGAGGTAGAATAATCGTATCAAGCGTGAAAAAGTACACAGACAAGTCATGAAAACTGTGCACTGCTTTATGAATGAGGAAGTGCAAATTTCGACGAGGCGTTAAGGTCAGCCGTTCAAGTGACAGAAGAAAACAAAATCGGTCGCAAAACAACAAGGACTGCAACATGCTGAGACCAGGATTCGAACCTGAATTACTGCGGCCACAAGGCAGTGTCCAAACCACTGGACGATCACGGCTGGTCATCCGCGCAGCGGGTGATTATTGAAAAAAAATTAAACATACAATAGGTCCTACGGCTATAAGGGAGGGATTCAAAATTCCACTTAAACAGTTTGTACTTTGAAAAAGGTTGAACCACTAGTTGGCTTGGATTTTCCTTGGTCCTCTGTGGGACATAAGCGACCATTGGAGAACAACTGCAACTCGGGCTGGTAGAAAATCTCTACAATACCGTAATTAGCGATTTCCAGGAAAAGCACCTACCCACTCTGGAGACGCTTTTCATTACTCAAAACTCCGTGATTAATCAGAAAAGTCAAGCTAGACTATTTGTAAGTAGTAGATCAGGCGATATTTTTACATTAATCAGTACGGGCAAGGAGAAAAGGGAAAGTCGCGTGTGATCTGTAATTCGTGCGTGTTCCGCATGCATCTCGTCCTTCGCTTTCGACTCACATTTGCCACCACCTCACCGTGAACACCAAATAAATAACGCCCATTCTACACTCTAAATCAATCCCCTAAATGCATCAATCGGCTGAAATTTTTAATAAAAATTAGCGACCAAGTCGGAAAATGGCATATTCACTATTAAAATGGCCTATCATGTGTGACCACCCTGAGATCCTTACAGCATAAAATGTGGGTCAGATTTCCTTTCCATTCCTTTTCTTTGCATAATTTTTTTTGGACGACAAAGAACGTCTTATTTGTGCTAGATTGACGCTGACTTCCCATTGTATTACAGGGGCCATTACTTTGTGAAGTATTGCAGTTTATCCTTAACTTAACGGCTTAAGCGACAGGTAGAGTTTTCCTTTGATGGTTTTCTGATCTGGTTGTAACTTCTTTAAGATGGCTGCAATCTTTTTCACGGTTTCGTCATTAGACAATCCTGTTCTCTTTGTTTTAAATTTCTGTAGTAAGTCCTTGCTCGTCATGGGTTTTCTTGTAAGGTACCTTCTAACTGCATCCTCAGTGATCCCCTGAGGGGCATCCTCACTACCAGTGGGTGTTGGAGTACTTGTTCTTGACCCACTTCCCGTGCCCGCTGAAGGTGCTGGGGATATTACACGAGGCTTCTTGGAAGCAGAACCCCCCTCCTCACTCGTGGCGCCTTTCTTGGCTGAGCTTGCTGGACGCTTTTTGGCTTTTGCTGTTATTGATATCAAAGAAGAAGCAAGATTAAAACAGACTTTAATTTACTCAAAGGCTACCTCTTTTGTGGCCCGGCCACCTTAGATTGCATCTCAAGTTGGACCGAGGGTTGTGCTAGTAGACATTCTGGGCAGATTTTTAAGACAAATCGCGACATGAAATGAAGGATTCCAGTTGAATCGTTGAGAAGAGTTATTCCAACTTCTGAAACGCGATCTTAATTATTGACAGATCAATAGGTCCGTGATAGTTTGTGCATTCTTTCACGCTCAAGACAATTTGAAACGTCACCACAGAGGACTCAACTTATTGCGTAAAGAGGTGTTTTCAAGACAATGGGGGTTTTAAGACCAGCTGCAACGGTTTTCAAGAAAATGATAACTGGTGGGTCGTGCATGAAATTCTATAAAAGCTCCAGAAGCCCCCCTTCCACTTAATACTTCTCCTTTACAGCTTAATGTTGTTACCATCCGCCCCCCTCCCAAGCCTTGTGGGTCCTCCGTTGTCTTCCCTTATCCTTAAAAAAGTTCTATTAATTCAATACCAAAGAGATAAACTCGTGTTTCTTAAGGTGGTACCGGTGGCTAACTCGACCTTTTCGGGATGCTTTTATTTTTTTCACATCTAAAAGATTATTGTTTAAGTAGCCTATTTGCAAAATTTTGCGACTGGAAAACGTGCCATTTTCGAAATACATGCGATAGAAGTATCATTTCGAAGGACGAATCTCGCGGCAAAATAGAGATACGATCCTGGTCTAATGGTGTTTGCGGTTCACGAGGATTTCCTCCAGATGACATTTCTGACACATCCATTTCATAATAAGTAACCATTCATTGATGAAATATGGAGCGCTCCGGTACCACGTTAACCGAAATTGGCATCGTTCTTTTGGTGCAAAGTACTCTCATGTAAAAGCCTGCACTAATTTCCGTTTTAGTGAGAAGTTTCAGAAATTCGTTCTGTACACGATATTCACATCCGCTAACCGAGAGTACAGAAAAGTATGAATCAGATCGTGACTTTCAAAGAGATTTTAGCAAGCCTTTCCCTTCTCCTCTCTGATACCCCCCCCCCCCCTTCCAAAGAGCCTCCGGGAATAAGACCCCTAAAGGCTTATTAGCGTGTTCATGTGATGTTTGAGAGCCAATGAGTTACACGGGAGTATGGGGTAGGTATGTTATTTACTCACAAGGTGTTCCTGGTCTATCCTGACTAAGCTTACTGACAGCAGCACCAATGAGTTACACGGGAGTATGGGGTAGGTATGTTATTTACTCACAAGGTGTTCCTGGTCTATCCTGACTAAGCTTACTGACAGCAGCAGCAATGGTGTTGGCAGTACCATCCACAGCCGCAGTAGGAGTCGATGAACGACTATTGGATGATGTACTGGATCCACTGCCAGACTTCTTTTTTCTTTTTTTATCGCCTAGTGAAATAAGTCAGTATTTCAATTTCACTTCCTGGTATCCTAACTTAAAGCTTTTTTTTAGAAACAATAAACAAAAATATGTATCAAGATTATCAGTATCAGACCCCTTGCTGACCTCTCTCGCCGGCTCGTGTTGCTCGAGGCCTTATTCTTTCCCGTTGGCGAAGAAACATTAATACATTAAGGCCAAAGCACTGCTAAAGAAGGTCTGCTCACAGGCCACGAAAAGGCAGAGCAAACCAGTTGTGCAAGGGATCTTAGTGTTAGTTCACCAATGAAAAAAACACCTATCTACTTACATGGTTTCAATGGTGAATCAGAAAACAATAAATGATGCTGACTGTTTTATCCAACCTTGTAAAAACAGAGCAGAAGTGCCTTTGATTTCATCCTGGTCAGGATCTTCATCTTCTTCATCCCAGGACTCTCGCCCTTCCTCTCGATCCAACATGTCTTTTAGTTCCTGTCCCTCTTGCGTCAAATCGTCTTCTTCGTCACTTGATGTCTCCTCCGCATTCAGGTCATCTTCAGCTTTGGGTTTAGTCACTTCCACATTCTTAACTGCTTCTGTAAAAAGCAAATAAACTTTAATTAATGAGAATTTTGTGAATACAAAAACAAAAAAAATTATGCATAAGATAAAGCTTGTCATAAGGCTCCTTTGCATCTTTGACAAAATAACAAACAAAACAGAAAAGCATTTACCTTGCTTTACTGATACCTACAAATTGACTTATCATCCATGAAGATTTATGTGAGTCTCAATACACTCGCAAAATGAGATTGAAAAACTGACTTAGTCGTCAAGCAGTGTCAATGACAAGTAACTCAACCTTTGACTTAGCTATAATGTTGATGACTAAGCAACAACAATGGCAGTGCCCTGCCTTTCCCTACATCCGGCCAGTTCTGAAAGCCACAAAACTCTAGAACAAAAATTTATCTTTCAAATCGGACTCTTAGTCCCCACGGTATCAACAAACAATTTTCATTTAACTGATTTATTCTTTTGTTGTTTTTGTCAGTACCATTCTCTCACCAATAGCATAGTTCCATCTTTCAGTGTATAGACCACAGCTAACCCACAATTGCTCTATTCATTCCGAAGAAAGGCCAATGCTCTAAAAGTCAGAAACTCTTTACAGCAGCCAATTTATAAATTTTATCAACTCAGTTGATAAATATATCTTATTAGACGTTTTGTTGTGAAGTATCGCTGTGTATTCTTACGAGTCAAAATACGAGGAAAAATACTCAGCACTACGACACACCAAAACGTCTAATAACTTATTTATTATCCAACACGCCAAATTGTTATTTCAGTGCGGGCGAATTTGCGAATATTTATTTACGGGAAGTGCGTAACAGAAGTACGCGAAGCGGAATTGAATCGGCGCGTTTTGTGTTGCTGTTTCTATTTTCCTCAATAAATGATGAAATTTCAAATTCGTCTCACAGCTTTTCTTCGTTCAATTTATCTCATTAACTTGGATCATTATTCGCCAGCCATTCTGACTCTTTGTCGTCAGAAAAATGATTATCAATTTTCCGCCATTTATTTTTGTAACTTCAATCCAATTCGTCGCTTGCGCGATGCGAGAAAACCTGTCTAACCGGTTCTCTGGCGTACAAATACCGCGTGATATTTGTACTCGTCTTGGGCGTTGTTTGTACTCTATGGAGTGTAGTTGTTATTTTATCATTGATAAAAGTAAATGATAATATCAAAAGTAATCAGTAAAAGTAATCAGTACAAAAAATCTCACCCTCAGAAGAAGAGGAACTATCAGACAGATAGTCAACCTCCTTAGAATCTAAGTAGCCATCTTCCTCTGAGGATGCGTCACTGTCAACATCTGAACCCTTCTTCATTTTCTTTTGTTGCTTCTGTCCACCTTTATGTTTGACCTTCTTATCTTGTTTATCTATGAGTTAAATCATCTTTCTGTGCTGTATTCTCTCACTGTTTTATCATATACTGAAAAAACTATTCACCAAAGTGTTGGTGGCTAGCCGTGGAAATTAACCTTGCCACTTTTTGGCTTAGTAAATATTTACCACTAGCGACTTCCACGTTGGTAAATAGTTGTTAACTAATAAGATATCGAAAGAATCCTTGTTCATTGAAGCCAAGCTGTGTATTAAAGCAGGGCTCGACACTAACTTTTCAACTACCTAGCCAAATGGCTAGTGACAACTTAGATATTACAACAATTTCGGATTTTTTATTAGCCAAACTGGCTGGTGGTAATCGAAAACCACCAGCCAAAACTGAATTTCTACTAGTCTGTGGCTAGTTGGCCACCATTAGTGCCCAGCCCTGTGAAGTCTTGGCTTATACAAAATAGTCAACATTAATTTTTTTGATGGTCTGAGGACTCCCTGTAGGGTTTGTATCTGGGGAGGGGAGGGTTATATGCAAAACTAAAATGTTAAAGAAAAGCTGACAAGGAAACATTCTTTCTTTTACAACAACAAAAAAAAATTCAAAATTTTGGAAAAGTAACAAATCAAACAAAAGTTAGACATAGCTTTTCACTTTACAAAGTACTTCAAAAGATGATGGAAAAAATTTCTAGTTTTCATCAATGTCCGGTATATCAAGGTTAAATTACCACTGCATCGGGTCAAGAGAAGGGGCTGGAGACTTATGAGACTTTTTTGGAATCAATTTCAAACAAGGGGTTCCTCAACGGGGTACGAGTGGGGGAGGGGGCTTCTATATGGAAAAAGATGTACAATGATTGGCCTGGGAGCATTACCTTCCTTGCTTTTGTTTTTTCTTAGACCTTCCTCTTCATCATCATCAT